TCAACTGTGTCCCAGCCTGTTTACATACCACACAATACTGTTGATGTCAAAAATATTTTTGATGGAAGTTTAAGGTTAAGAATGCAATGTTCAGATGAAAATACAGGAGACATGGGCCTATAGGAAACATCTGTGTTGATAGATAAACATTCACTCTCATATTTCAAGAACAATTTAGACCATTTCATCTACATAGCCTTGAACAATTAAAGTGAAAGAATGGCTCACAACAGGTTATGGTAGACCCAGCATTTTAGATACACTAACTGGGTAAAAGTTGAAGGTTAAAGTGCCTATGACAGGTTGGCCTACTCATTTAATAAAAACGCACTTTTTTATACACACATTTTATATTTTTTTGCGGTTTGGCATTTTTTAGGTTTCAAATGTGACTTCCTGGTTGGAAATCATGACATCATGACAAAACTCCTGAAATGTACACGGAAATGATTATTTGACAAATAACATGGTAAGAAAACACCTTTATTTAGTTGGAACTGTGTAAGAAAAATGCATTTCTTGTGTAAATTGTGACAAACTTAGGGACAGAATTCTGCCAGTGTGATATCATCAATATAAAGCTCTCTAAAATAGAGCTCTCTACTTTCTGTAATTTTCAACATATTTTTCAGCATTTTGATTCTTGATTTGTGGAAAACTATCATTTATATTTACAACAGGTTTTATCCCACCAAATAAAGTCAAATGAGAGAATCATCAGAATCTAGCATACCCACAATAAAGTTACGCTTCATCAAAAGCTGTATAGAATAAAGGGCTATTAACAGTAAGATGACATGACCAGCGTGCATGTCTGGTGCATGGAGCAAGGCCTCAACCAACCACAAAGCTCAGGCCCACGTTCAGCCAATCAGGACTGAGTAAGTTTTAGGGTTGGTATGATCATGTTGATGAATCACTTCTTCCCACAACAGACACCTTATGGCCGTTGGGGAAGGAAATAGGATGGCGAAACCTTTTCAGATCTCTGGTGTAATGACTCATAAGTTAGTCTTGCAGGTAAAAATGTTGTTGTTGTGTATTATCAAGTTAAATGAGAACTACTTATACTATAATCATATTATAAACAGTTAATGGCCTGCCAAGGTGAAAGTGTGTTTTCAAGGCATCAGCCAATCATAGACCTCAGGAGACAGGTTTGTTCACTGAAAGTTAGAAATGTTATTGACTTAACAAAACAATGGAAACTGCAAACTAAAATGAACTACTATGAATAACATCATTTTCCACTATCAGAAATGTGCCCACGCTGATAATTGTTTCACTTAAAAATAAAAACAGTCATCCAGATAGCTCAAGTAAAAAGATTATGATAAGAAGCAGAAAGAGTTTTTAAGGTAAGGTTTGATTTATGGTTTTTAGTATATACATTAAAGAAACAAATCATATTTTTAGATTATGTAACTACATGGCACACCACACAATATCAGAATATGCACAATCCTCCAGCAGAAAAAGAAGAAAGAAGGTGCAAAATTAACATAATCAATTTTCCAAAACATGTCTTGAATCTTAAAGGTGCACCGAGTAACTTTTCTGGTGGAGGGTTCGCTACCTACTTGTCTTCATGGAGATGTTTTTGTTATCAAGAAATCAGAACTACTTATACTATCACATAGTTGGGATCCTCATAAACAGTTGATGGCCTGCCAAGGTGAAAGCGTGTTTTCAAGACATCAGCCAGTCATAGATCTCAGGAGCAGCTCACAGTTCTCATTTGGTGCAGTTGTGAGACAGGTTTGTTGACTGGAAGTTAGACATTATTGACTTAAATAAACAATGAAAAACACAAATGAATTTAGATAATTTTCTAATTATTATCAGAGGTGTACCCAGGTATGATAATTGTTTCACTTAAAAATAAAAATGGTCACCCAGATAGCTCAAGTATTAAAAAATAAATTAATTAATAATAATAATAATAATAATAATAATAATAATAATAATAATAATAATAATAATAATAATAATAATAATAATGAAAGAAATAAAGTACTGAGCTGGGTTTTTTGGGTAAGATTTGATTTATAGTATGTACATTAAAGAAACAAATCATATTTTCAGTTTATGTAATGCCATGGCACACCACACTCAAGATCTGGATAGGGGTTCTTGGATGATGAACTGCAGCTGACATTAAAATCAAATGTAAAAAAAAAAAAAAAATCTAAATGAATTTCCCTTATGTGGAATGTGTAAAATATACCATAACTTTATTATTGCAAAAAATACATTATAAAAAATTCTTCTTGCTGAGCTTGTCACCTCACCTGTTCTGGTATGTGTCTGTGATGTAACCTAGTGCAAGGGTTGTAAGATCTTGGTGTCTGGCCCATCATGATAGGATTACACATTTCTAAGTACTGCACTCAAAACGCTCATACAAGTGTCCAATGTGTAAAAAGAGTCTCTCCAAGTGCTACAGCAGCAGCTCTGTGGTCGTACGTGTTGGCAGTTGTGAAATGAAATTTGAGTTTGATTCTAATAATATCAGTGTTATGTCTGCACAATCTTCATTCTCAGGACAGATAGTTCATCAAAGTTCTGGAAAATGTTGACTCTGGAACAGTATGGTTTCTTCAGTTACAAATGACTTGGCAAATTATAATTTTGGAGTTGACTGTTTGTAAGCCTTAGACGGGCACTGTTATATGAGAAACGTGCCCTCCTAGCCAAAGCTATTCAAAACATGGTGTCATCGGTACACTATGAAAAGACCCCGGCTAAGGCCTCCTCTATACTCAATAATAGCCTGGTTTGTACTATATTATTCAGCTGTTGCACATAAGCAGGTTAAAATTCTATCAACTATTTTGTAGTTTGGGGGTAATTATGCATTATTTGTGCTGTTTTAGGCTATTTAGACCTCATTATGTAAACTAAACTCCTTTTTCCTATTTGATGTAGCTATTCTTCATGTTTATGAGCTATGTCTTTTTGTCTTAACATGCCATAAAGCATTTCACAGCTTTGTAGTATAACATTAACAGTATTTATCTTAATTTCTCATGTATATTCAACACAAAACAATTCTTTCTCAATCCTTTTTAGGCATTTAGTTTAGTATTTCAATAGTCCTGTGTTTTGTCTCTTTACATAATGTTGTTTGCACTGACCAGTCAGTACTGGATCATGTTGTTCTGTGTTTCTTAGAAAGCAAGTGCAGAATGAACATACATCATAATATATTTTCCAAAACATGCTTTGAATCTTAATGGTGCACTGCGCAACTCTTCTGGTGGAGGGTTACCTACTTGCCTCCAATGAAATCTTATTGCTTTCCCTGGAATGTTCCATGGTATAGCATTAACCATAGCTATCTAGCATTTATTCATTAATAGTTACATTGATCCAAAATGCTAAAATTATTTTTGTGAATTCTGAATTGTTGTGTACCGTAGTGGTCTAACCTGCTTGGCTCACTTGTGATTGATAGCTTTAATCTATAAAGTGGAAGATTCTAGACAAAACCACGCTAGCTACTGACCATATAGTCAGCACCGTTCCCCCTTATATACCCCTTCTGCTGCTCAATGTAAATGATCCAGTGATATGTGCCGCCCTCCGCATATGTGAGGAGTTGGTTCTCAGTTATCAGGGTCAGGGCTTCTTATGCACGGCAACACGTATTCGAACTTAAAAACTGCTGAGATGGGCAGTTTTAGGATGAATCTTGTTGCAAATAAACAATTAAAACATTCTTTAAAGGCTGAGGAAATAATGTTATGTAAAGTGTGTGCAAGTAACATCTTAAAAAAATGCATGAATAACTGCTGAAATAAATTACTGTTAATGTATTGAATGGGGTATTTTTAAGTAATAAACCTGCACTAAGTTTGTAACCTTTTATATACGTATGTAATATTCAAAAATATTTGTGTTGGAGATTTCCGTCACCCTTTGCACCACTGCCCACTTCTAAATACAGTTTGTTGTGACCCTTTTACTGTCCACAACAGGCGCTGGTGCCACTCAAACTAAATTTGCACTTGTGTTCATGTAAATACACAACTGAAGCTGACCATACTGTTGGGAGTGACCTCTGTACCAGTTCCAGTGCCAAAAACAAGAGGATAGGATTCACTATTAAGGATTATGCACGGCACTGCATTAGTATTAAGAAACTTCACTGTTCACAAATGCCATTGTTCAAAATACTTGATACTAAACATTAAGGTACACTTTATTGTTCTGACACAGGGAAATTTGTCCTCTGCATTTGACCAGTCCTTCAATGCCACTGGAGTACTTCATCAGGAGCAACCCAAATCCATCTCCAGATCTGGAGCAGATCTTGGTCAGGACTACCTTTGCTGGAGGTTTTTAGCTATGGTGCATGTTTTAGGTTGATGGGGGAAATCCATAGACTGTGTAAAGAAGTGACCTTAAGTAAGTGTGGCTCCAGTCAAATGAAGCTCACAATGCTAGCGAATTTGGAGCCATATAAACTTATTAATGGACAAAATAGCTAAATAAAAACTCCAAGGTCATGTAGAGCGGTTTAATACGAACATTTAAAGGCCAAAATTATGAGCCTCGCAGGAACAGTTACAGAAAGGGGTTACAGTAATCCAATGTAAGTCAAATGGAGCCGGGATCAGAAGGAGTCTGAAGGCCCCTATGGTCACTTCCTGTTTAGAATGTAACAACTAGCGGGTTAGCTCATCTACATTTATATATAGAGTCTACGGGGAAATCGTAGTGCACAGTGGGAACCCACCCTGACACAGGAACGTGCAAACTCTGCACAGAAAGGCTCGGGTGACTCCAGAACCTTCTTGCTGTGAAGAATGAGTGCTCACTACTGAGTCACCGTGCTGTAAAGAAATGTCAAATACTAGATAGATAATGACAAATAATGTTTTTTTTTGCAACGTAGCCCTTAGCTAAGTCAAAGCTAAGTGTTTGTACATGATCCCAGATAAATAATAAAAAAATGTATTCTAGTTTAAAAGTGTACATTACCAAATGGACTTGAATGTTGTCAACCATACTTTATTAAAAAACCCATAGGGTGCAAATACAAAAATAACTGTAGGTATAAATGATACGTAAGAAACACACATTTCTCATATCTCACAAGTCTCAAACAATTCCAACAATTCCACTGAAAAACAACATTTGATTCCACGTAGAGGTAGCTCTCACAGTGAAATGTTGCTAAGCATGACAGCAGATCAGAAACTTCCCCTCATAAAGTGCCTTCCATGATATGGGAGTGTACAAATTAGTGAATCATGTTTTGGCACTTGCAGCATCAGAACCATCAATAACAGCTCAAAATAAACTGGGTCTGAAAATCACATGCAAGGCTTATTTAAATTTACATCATTCTTGTCTGATTCAATCAACAGGCAGTAGCCAAATGCATTACATTGATAAGTGCAAAGGAAATATAATGTTCAATCCATATGTGTTACATAAGATTAAACAGGAATTTTTGTCTACAGGAAGTAATGTTGTACCAAGCAATTTTACAGTAACATTGTTCTCATTGAAATCCCTTCTTGTACAGACTGGAATGCAAAAGCATGAAGGTAGTGTCAGGCTGTGGCCTGTGGTGCTTCAAATATCACATCACTTTTTTCTGATACTCGGACAACTCGGCCTCTTTTCGGACATGATCAGAGATGTTCACGCCATACATCAGCTGCGGCCAGAGCTCCAGGCCCAGGAGTGAGAATCAGCACAGGTAAATGCAGTGTAGAGCTGGGAAGACAGCTAACAGAACAAGCAAGCCCTTTAAGTCCTGACCCTGGGTCCACTCAATGTCCATTGGAGTTTATTCTTTGGCTCTTTGTAAGTGCTTCTTTTATGGTCCCAACTGCTGGACCACTGATTTGGTGGTGTTCAGCACACAGGTAACATACGAGCGTTGCCATTGTACTCTTCCTCTGTCTGACAATGGACAACAGTTTATTAGATCAATTAGTCAAAAATATTTTTAATGATGACTAATTAATGAGTGCTGTTGCTAATATTTACCTCTGTGTATGCAGGTGGCATTGGGTATTCAAAGCGAGGTGGGTTCATGAAAATGGGACTTTCATCACCATCAATATCATCAAGCAGTGGTGTGAGGGGCTGGTCCAGGCAGCAGTCTCTGGAGATGTCACAATAGCTGGGGGGATTTGAGGGCATGCGGAGGGACACCCAGCTTTGGGACGAGTTACTGATTGAACCTTCTTGACTGCTCACACTGTTGCTACGGCTGCCCAAACCAGGTGTCCCAATGACTAAGGGCAGCTCCAGAATCAGCTTCTCACTGCCAGGGATGTGGACATAAATCTATAAATAAACAAAAGTGTTAAAAAAAGAAGACAGTGCCATGTGCATGTATATGTGCCAGAGAGTAGTAGGGCTTACCATGAGGGCATACTCCACACGGATCATGTTGCAACCCAGCATGGACGGTTTGATCTTAGGCACCCTGATGGACTTGCCCAACCAGGCATCACACATGCCAGAGATAATATGGTTCCCTCTCACAGCGGACAACTTTTGGCGAAACACTTTGGTACGACCATTGGCCAGGTAAGTGTGCTTGGCAATGATGGCAGCTTTAGGCACCACAATTCTAGAACAAGTGTTCTCAAACTTTGCATTGATGCAGATGTCTTCTCCCTCGCAGAAGCCTCGACGATCGATTTTAGCGTTTAGAGACACCTGACCATCTGGGATGAACATACAGGTCACCTTCTTTTCTTTGGAGCCACCTGTGGGACACTGATGAAATGCAGCATGGTTAGCAGAGGTCAGTTATGTTATGTCATTAGTTTATTATTACTTTGTTTAACTTGTGCACTTACCAGCAGGTCTGGTGTGTTTACATCCAGTGGTTCTTCCACCTCAAATGTTTTCTTGCACTCAAGGACAGGGTGTTGTGGCCTCTCCAGTGAAGCCTTAACGTAGTATTGGATGTAACCAAACTTCCCTTTGTATGAAGACACCAGCTGCCTGTGGAGGAATAAAAACACAGCACCGATTATTAAGTGTGACAACAGACTATGGCCCACACCTTGTTACATAAGCATTTTAGACTGTGCTCTTACCCATTCTGAGGAAGCTCAAATCCAAAAGAGTATTCATACTTGTTTCCAGGTCTTAAGATGACGGACCCATCAGCATCTATAAAACGAGAGCCAGGTGTACTATTAATTAATTAGTTAATATTGACATCTAGCTATAAGGTCAAGACATCTAAATACAAAACTTGATAATGAATGCGGATAGCAAGGTAAACCTAAAAACCACAGTCAGTCACGCAGCTGTCATCTGTCACATTAGTAAAATATTATCTCTGCCTACTTCTCTTCGTGTGATTCCAGCTGTTACACCAGGTTTCTTACCTGTCGGCTGATTGTCCAGTCGCAGGACCTCCTCATGTCGAAGGTACTCGGCCTCTTGTCTGCAGCGCTGCTTTCCTTTCGCATATTCCACTTTTGCGCATCCCAGGCCCAACATTTTCACTGCAGACACGCGAGTATTCTCACCAACTTCGACTTCTACACGTCCACATATTCTGTCGCCGCCGCAATAAAATGTCTTGCTTGGGTCCGCAAAAATGATCTGAAAAGTTTTTATCCTTTTCGTCATAGCCACCATGATTGCGTCTCCTTTATCCAAGTGTGTGAAAAGGTGAGGAGTTGGTGTGTGCTTGAGCTGTGGAGATCTCCCACTAAACTTTGGCGTAAACAAAGGCGGCGTCTGGTTTTATATGATAAGGGTGAACTGCACACGAGAACCTAGAATGGACTGTATGGCTCAGCGCATGCACACTGCTCCAATTGGTGGGAAAGAGGTGTTTTTGTCGGCTCTAGCCAATCAGAGCGCATCAGCGACGCGTGGACACTGCGTGGCTGGGTGAATGTAGAACGTGCACAGCATATGCTCCGAAAAGAACACAGGAAGTCGAAGAAGACAGTACATTCGTAGTAGTAAACAAGTAATAATATCCTAGTGTCCTGGTCTCAATGTCTCATTGATATCCAATTCTTCTAAAAACATTGTTGCCTCAGACGTTCATTACTGCAGTACAAGTCCTTTGGACACTTAAATGTAAATGACAATGTGAAATGCCATTGTGTCTGTCAAATCGTGATTTACAGCAGCGCTATAACTTAATCATATTTAGGCCACCGCTATAACGTGAAGTATATATAGCCATGGAAGCTATGCCTCAAATACGCTAAGGCTCGAATGAGACTGCACAGTAAGACCAAGTCATCATGGCTCACTGTATAAAGGCCAGTTTCGCTTTCATTTGGTAACATTATGGAAAATCTGACTCATTTCAGAAATCAGAAATGCCCATACTTCAACAATCCTTGTGAATATCAGCTTATCATGATTAGTCATGAAATTATGTATTTGGGGAGAAAAGTCCACACACATATTTAGTAAACTACAAAATAATATTCAGACACAGTAATGGTTCAATAAGTTTATTTAAAAAAATATATTAAAAAAAAGTGATCAGCTGACAATTTAAGACAGCAGTCTGCAAGAGAAAACAAAATTACATTTTCTAAACTTTATGGCTCACGATTACAAAGTGGTTGTGTACCAAGAGACCTTCTTAACAAAGTGCCAAGAAGTCCCCTTGACTTATTGCTTTCTGGTCATGTCCACAGCAAACCAGGAATAGACCTTCCAGGCTGCCTTGGTATATGACCAAACTTCCAAAAACAACACTCACCAATAAATCTTGTTTATTACAGTTAAGAAAACCAGCTCTGAAATCTGAAAAAAACAACATAGTAAGGACTTCAAATATGAATTTCCTAAGCAAATAAGTGTCTCAACATATTAACCAGGACTCCACACACCACAGTAAGGAGACCAACGATGCCTAATGTTAAATTTATCTTGCACCGACTTATGAACAAACCAACAGATGGCACTGCTGGCTGCAGATACCACACAGTGCGTCAGCAAAAATTAAATGAAAAACTTACCACAGATAACCGCACTCAAATCTCAAGACCATTCCTGTTAAACAATGTACAATTACACAGTGTAGTTAAGTACGCAATAATTCTGTCATTTGTAAAGGTCTGTACTGGAGCATTATCCCACATGCTCAAGAAAAGGTGAACATATGGGTAAAGCGAGGCTACAGATTTTCTCTATGAGGCGTTTCCCATGATACAGTCTACTGAGAAGATGAATCAGGACCAACCTCAGTTAGCAAATCAAGTACAAAAAAAATATACTTACCACGGTCAACTCATAGTCAAAGCCTGAGAAAGGAAATAGAAATTAAATTTACATTTGTGCAACAGGCATTTTTTGCAAACACTAAACCAGACTTATTCAATAGTCTGTTCTGCAGCATTATCTCACATGTTCAATGGTTTGTGATCATATGAGTAAAGCGAGGCTACAGAGTTTCTCTATGAGGCGTTTCCCATGATACAGTCTACTGAGAAGACTAATCAGGACCAACCTCAATTTGGCAGCCAAATCCTAAAAGTTCTATCAGAAATGTCAGCATTGCTTATGGCAGTATATATCTATATAACTACTAACAATGTTGATGTAGGAAGTTTACAAGTGTCACTTTGCTCACCTCACAAACTTGATCAGGCCACCACATCCCACAGTTCAACCTAAGAAAAGAAGAACAATTTTAGAACTGTAAATGTACCAAATGGCAAAGACAGTTTTAACCAGACTGTTCAGAAAGGCATAGTTTCGTCCGAGACGTCAGAGCAGTTGAACATATTTAGCCAATCATCATAACAAAATCCAAAACAAAGAGAAAGGGGGAATATCCTACCATGCAGCCTGAGACCACCACCACAAGACAAGGCAGATTTGGTTGAACAGCCCTGGCAAAACATAATACAAATGGTCATCAAATAAAGTTGAAAATATGTGTGTGTGTATGCATGTATATATTTCTTGTCAATTCTCAAAAGTAACACTGCTGCAGGGGGGTTGACAGCAGTGGGTTGCATGAGAATGTACTACTCTTAGCACAGTGAAATTGCCATGACCCACAAAAATGAGACTATAGCTTAAACTGTGCAAGTGAGGCTTGTAATGCATATAAAGTATGAATATACCTACCACAAACCCCCACTTGGGCTGAGAGGGCCTTTATGGAGTCATTACCAGGTTGCAGGCAGATTAAAAAGCGTGAAGTTCCTTTAATTTTTCAAACCCCAGGCACTCTATTGACTTAAGATGTATTTCCACAAGTGTTCCTGGTAAAAGAAAAGTAAAATCAATATACAAAATTGCTACGTGCCCGATGATGGCCAATTTACAGTGTGTTATTGCATACAAATTGTTTACTACAGCTTATAATGCCTCAAACGGATATAAAGAAAACCACAAGTGTGCCAGACCTCATTGTCACCCTTCAGCAACAGGAGTGCTGTGATGAAAGCAAAATCTGATGTACTCTGGCCACAGTTTCATTGGAATAAGCCCATTTAGAGGACAATTCACTGAGTGAACTACACTGTGGCGTCTTTCAATTAAAGCAATGCGACCGTATTGTGTCGGTTTGACAGTAGTCTAATGCTGCAGACAGTTTTCGATGAGCCCATGGACGAACCATGCGGTGCAGCTTGTTAGCAATAGCATAAGGTCGATGAACCAAACGGCTAAACGTAGTGAGCATCTTCAAAACTGCAAGCTGCAGCACTCAATATATCAACTTGACTTTGTACTTTAATAGACACTTCATACACGTAATGTGGGAAAAAAAACATCTATCTACCTTCCGCATGGCCATCTGAGATTTGAGAGTACGGCGCACTTGTGAAAGACAGAAAAGCGCGCAGCTGCTGTTTTTATATGGGTGCGCTGCGACAGTCACACTCCTTTGCGACACAGCAACGGAATACGTCTTTCACTTGTAGCAGTACTTTTAATGTGTTCAAATTAACCTTTGTAAGGAATCACGACAGACGTGTTTTTGGTCACTTTTTCACTTTGTATTACCTGGGAAGTAGAAGTTAGAAAATATTAATGTCTGGTTTCCCCCACTGATTTCAAAATAGTTTAATTAATCTACATAGAAAATTGACAATTATTAATATGTTTTATAAAGTTAAAAGATTTATCCTAACACTTTACTTTGAACGTACTTACCTTGAATCCTGCCTTGTCAAATCCATCTTTGTCACACCTTGCCTTACTATCTCAGATGATTTTTTTAAATACAATTTTTCATATTTTTGTCTGATGAAGAAGTGTAAAATGTGTCAGTGAATTTCAAATAACTAAACTGAATTCCAGAAAGAGAGAGCTTGGCTATATGGAGAGATGGCAGTACTGGTCTCTTGGATGGTCCAAGAGACCAGTGTATTTTTGGACTTAGCTTTGGTCTGAGCTTGGGAACAGCTGTTGAACATCCTGGAGAAGAATCAGGAGTCAAGACACATGACACATGTCAACACACATTTTAGTAGGTTCATTAGGTCTTCCATGACCTCTCATTCGTCATTTCATCTAAGGCCTACCTCGTTTTCTCACTAGGAATTCACTAGTCTTGTTTGTTTAACTTAGATTCTATAACATTTTGGATCCATATACTCAACCATTTGTTAGTGTGATAAAATGTGCTTTCCAAATGAAACAAAACCTCATTTCAGTTTCATAAGTTCACTTTACATGGTTCAAGTTTACAGTATGATTGTGTTGGATTTTGTGTAGTAGTATTATATCTTTACCACTAGAGGGCGTTGTTGACACATTCTTAACATCAGTAGCGGATTTTGGCTCTGAGGATGGATTTTAGGGAAAGTCCCATGTATTCCTCTTAGTGCTGTCAAGTGGAAGGCTTAGGACAACACCTATAATGAAAAAAGTTTGGTGAAGCTTTAATAAAGTGTGGTGATTTCGAGAGAAAATTATTCCGCTAAGACCTCTTATCTAAAAGAACATTAGTTTTTTTTTTTTTTTTAGATAAGAACTTTTTTGCCTATCCACCCCTTCTTATTTAACCCTGTAGTGTTACCGCAGCTGTCTCAGGGCAGCCACGTGGTGACTTGGTTGTTGTTTTTTTTTTGTTTTGTTTTGGGGTTTTTTAACCAGATGCCCATAATAGACAGGCAGGAATACACTGTAGCTGACTTGTGTTCTGAGGTGCTGAGATAAGATACATGTAAGTCACAGTTCAAAGACTGTGATGTAAATGAAAGCAGGTGACTGATGAAACAGGGACAGTGAGATTGAAATATAAATCTCATACTGCATAACAGTTGTCTTTTTTATATTATCAACTGTTAAAACATTGATACTGGCATCTTGATATTTAAAAGCTCTTTGCATTAAAAATGTATATATAACATGAGATAAATAAATTTGGGCTGTATTAATTACAGCAATCTATGTTAGTGGGTCTGGTGGCAGTGGCACACAGTAAAATAGGGGAGACACTGGCTAAATGTTTGCAGATGAGTGCTTCCAATACCTAATCACCGTAGTAACAAGGGTCACAGGGGTGGGCCAGTGGGCCAGGCTGCCCCAGGCTTTAAGGTTATTAATATGACCTGAGTTGTTTACTTCAGAATCATCTATTTGTGTGCGTGAGCTGATGTGTATGCCAGGTCTCAATTGTCGATTGACCGCTCACCCAGGGGGCAAGTGTGTATGACTGCTGATCTCTCTAACTCCACTTAATACAAGCTTGTGAACTTTGACCTCTACCAAATCCACATAGTTACCGCTGAGGGGGAGGATGTTTCCCCAAGCAAAATTACTGCGTCATAATTTTTGTTGGTTAGCACTGCAATACTGTAACCACAGAGACCACTGTCACACATGTGGAAAAAAAGTGGGGAGAACAGTGACTTACTTACTACAATATGGGAAAACAAGTCACATGACACATAGGATGAGCAGCTTGCAATGCAACATTTGAATGTTAAGAAAATCTAACACAACATTACACCTGAACTTTAGTAACTTAGCAAATCCTGCCCTAAATGCAATGTAATTTCACAGTGAATCCATAGAAATTGTTTGTTTTACTTTTGGTTTTCAGTTTATGATTATTAACTTCAGTCAGTCAGTCACCAAACATTTGCTCCTATTCAAGTTCAAACACAATTTGCTGGACATGTTTGTAATCAAGACCTTGGCTTTAGACCTGCCTTTGGATCCTATTACAGATTTGAAGAGACAAACAGAGCAATCAGTAATCAACTCAAATGAACATAAGCATCACACAGTTTCTCATTTTCATGTAACCAGTACTCATTGTTTACTTTTGGTGCCCTGTGTAGTTACAAAGCAAGAGACAGAAATTTAGTACAAAACAACTAAACCTCAGGGCTGTAATTTGTTTTCTGTGCAAAGCTCATTAATGTTTAAGGATTTTATTAAGAAAGGGTGACGTACAGTATATCATTAATTCTAAAAATAATAGTGATGTTTTGCCCAGTTGTTGTGCCTTTGGCAGTGGTAATCAGGTTTGTGGTCAGTGAAGCATTTTAATTGTCCACATTATTTCTAAAGAATATTGTTTATTTTAATTTCTGCTGTGATACTTTTGGAGAGATAAGAAAAAAGTCTGTTTTACTTTTAAACTATAATAAACCTTTTTTCATCCATTTAGAAAATTCCACCAAAACGAAATGGGAATTTAGTGGGTAGGAATACCACACATCTTCAGGGAACACCACAGGCAGACAGGATATTTCCGGGAATTTCAGCCCTGTGTAGCCCCAGCAGCAGCTCATTTTGCTCGATTCTGTGTTTCACTTTGAGATAACGCAGGTAGCTAAGCTTTTTGTCTCTTCTGACTGCTCCTCTCTGGAGAACCAGAAATAAAAACAATGGAGCGAGTGAAGAGGACAAGCCGAGAGGAGAGGGCAGAGGGGAATGGAGGGTGGGGAAAACAGTGCATTTTTCAAATGGTGAATAATTTGTCTGGCCTGACATGATGCTGCACAGGACCACTTCCTGTGGCTCAGGTTTCAGCCTGCACTCAGTGTAAATGTGACGGAGGGAGGGCCCTCCTCCTGTACCTCTCTTGACTATGGGGCATACCTTGGACAAAACTCAAAGACTAGATAAACCTGTAAAAAGCTATTTTATCAGGTATTACACTTCTTGGTTTATTTTTATGTGGTTGGACTAATTTGTTTTCTATTTTATTTATTTATTTATTTATTTTTAAGTTATTTAATAAGCGTTTGGTAACTTTGTGATTTGTGGTAGATTAAAAAATAGTATCGTAGCTCTGACATTGAGGGAGATAGTTAAATGTTTCAAAGCAGCCAAAGGAAATATTGTTTCTAATTATCTAACACCTTGAACCAGCCTTCCTTTTAGAGGGCATGCAGGTGCTTGGTTTTCATGTGTGGTCTATGGGAAGGTGCAGTATGGTCAACTCTAAGCCAAATGTTGTACAGATATTATGTTTCCCCTCCCTTTAAATTAACATTGGGCCCAGTGTTTAATAGCACTGTTGATCTCCCTATGGTGCCTTTTGCTAATAACTTGTGTTTATGCTAAAGCTGTGATTCCGCCTAGTGCCGTTGTGTTTTTGTAAGAGACACTTGGCTTCCTTTTTCAGCATGTCTGAGTGCTTTGGTTTTAGTATATTTCTTTTGCTGAATAATTTGCTGTAGATGTCTGAATGGTCTGTGGTTTGTGCAAGAGGGATTTGTGGCTGTAGGTAAAGGACCTGTTCATTTTGGCACTTTTAATGTTGCCCAGAACAGTTGAACCAACTATTTATAACTCTCCTTGCCCACTCATTTGTTTTAATTACGCTAATATTTCTTTAAAAAATAAAGCATAGTCCTCTAAGTAATAGTGATTTTTAATGCATTTTTACATTTTCTTCTCTAGTCTTCAGTGCCCACACTGCAGTGTGAGTGTTTGTGAGTTGGCACTAACCTCGAGCCAGAAGAAGAGAATTATGAGGCATTTAGGTTTTTATGGGACTTGAGGAAAACATGCAAATGGTTCATATGACACCAAACACCAAGCCAGTAAAAGGCCAGACAGGCATTTTTTCAGTGAGACAGTGAGAAAAACAACTATAAATCAGATAAGGTTGTTGTGTAAAATGAGCACTATTTTAGGTGATGCTTGATATTCATCTTTACAGTTGGTGTTCAATATTGTTAAAAATGAAAGGTGTTGTTTATCTCTGTCTGATGATATAAATTTAAATCTATGTTGTCATTTAGGCAAAAATAAGTAAATGCAGTTTACAATGTCTAGTTAAAAAGTCTTGAATAGATGTGATAATATCAGTCAACATTTAATAATACAAGAATAATAATCCATAATGATCATGTTCAAGTGATAATTGTGGTAATTTAGCAAATAATATAATATAATCTATTTGCCAAATTATACTTGTATAAACTCTACTATACTACAGAAGGATAATAGGTGCCCCAAACATTGTGCCTCATGCCTTGGGACCAAGTCCAGACCTTGCACACGATGCAGTAAGTCATCCATACCAAATAAACTTGCTTTTGTCTGGGAGCTAATGTTTTGATAAGCTATCTCTAAATACTTCTGCACACTTTTGTTGCTTTAATGGAGCAAGAAAAGCATACAAACATCACATAGTTAGATTTACTACTCGATGTCTACAAGTTACGCAACTGTGAAAGTGGTCCCATTACTTAAGGTATGAACATTCAACAAGTCCTCTTTGTCTGGCCATGATTTTCATCTTTTCTTCAAAACAGTTACGGCTGACAGCGAAGGGTAAATAATCGGAGCGCAGTCCTGTTTTTGTGTTTGTGTGTTGAAGTAAACAAAAGGAGGGCAGAGAGGCAGAAAGGAAATGAGACGTGGGCAATATTAAACAGGGCCAGTGGAGATTAGGTGATAGATAGAAGTCAGAGGAAAGATTTATGCAAGACTGAGAAGTAGAGACCACCTCAAAGTAACAAGCA